GGGGGGGTGTTTTCGAGTATGGTGGCATTGCAAGAGGTCGGACGAACTGACCTCGGGGGCTGGACCTGGCCCATGGGCAATAGTAGTTTGGTGACCCTTGCTGTAAATGAAAGTTCTTATTTAAAGCCATATATAATCTCCTTCAGTGAAGACCACTCATGATTTTATAGTAATATCCTCGACTAGCTAGCCGTAACCAAAACCATCAGAACCAGACATTTGAGATTATTTTGCCACATAAATAGATCAACTGAGCTAAAGAAACTGCTGCTATGTGGAAATATAGAGGGAAAGAAGAGCAGAAGAAGACAAAGAACAACATCATACACAGATGGTCTGAACAACTTTGCAACGAATACCACAAAGAGAAAAACCGAGCTGATCATAAAGGCAGACCACAGAAATGAATGGGGTACCGGGTACCATGATCGTCAATGTCTTCCCCAGACTTGACCCGTCAAGAAGAAGATGCTAGTCAATAATATGGTACAAGCGAAGTCTCGATCTTGTCCGTTGGGAGACGCCCAGCGTTGCTGTCTGTTGTGCCCTTTGCTGTATATTGCGCTTATAGGGTTGCTACCGATTTCTTAGTTCCTACCTGCTGCTGGAATAGACAGTAAAAAATCTTATCAGTTTGTTAGTGTTTGAGCGCTTACCCGGCTGCTTGCACTGTATTATGCTTCACGAGAAGCTGAGAATGTTTCTGAGTGTTCTATGGTCTGCTGGGGTAATAATATAGTGTAAAGCGAACAGAGCTTGCTTTCCGAGTGGGGACATGCGCTATACAAATGCTATGTATTATTTCGCGCTCAGAGCATGTGTACTTTAATCGGGGTTGAGCGCTATATAAATGTCATTTATTGTTATTAACTGAAGAAAATAAAGCAGCGATGAGGGTTTTTTGGGGGGGAAAAACTGGGAATACGTAGGTGTCTGTGGTAAAGCTGTAAGGCATTTCACCTCAGCACGCAGCCTCGCACGCAGAAGATCTGGATTCGGCTCCTGTGTGGAGAGAATTGTTACTGAATAATAATTTTGGTCTTTCTCTGGGTGCGTCGTATCCCTCCAGCCTGGATTGACCCGCCTTCTATCGATGTAAAAAACAAACAAACCGGGAAACGACCCTAGGACTTTTGTTTGTTTTAGTAGAGGTTTTACGGCGCTCGCAACTGCCTAAGATCATATGAGCGCCACTTAAGGCTTTTAGTTGGTATTCCAAATCAGCAGAAGTAAATGGAGTTATGAAACCCCCTGTCTGGTCTCCAGTACAAACGTTTATTTTGTAAAGAACAGAACTGGTGGTTATCGCTTGGTGCAGTTTGTAAACAAACTCTTTTTTGAATTGTTTTTCACCCTCAGCACCAACATTTTTCTGCATGAAAAGAAAATTGTCCAAAGTTGTCATGGAATATATTTTGTATAAATTGAAGAAATCATTTTAAAAAATTCATTTCTAATCTTGTTTCAATTCATAATTATTTCTTTCTATTCCTTCACCAGTTCAAACATTCTCCAGCGTTAAGAAAAAGCTGAGGACTTCCAACCAGGAATGGATGCAAGGATTCCTCGACAACCTAGGACTCGAGCGCCTCCTGGATTGTGTGGACACATTCGCGAACAAACGGGTGACCGCACTGTCGGACGCACTTATCCTCATCGAGTGTGTGGAATGTATCAGGGCCGTGCTCAACTCAAAAGTGGGCGTGTCCCTTCTTGTGCAGAATTCGGACTATAGCAGGCGCCTCATCAAAGGTGAGTACTGACAGAGATAGATGGGGAGAGAGAGAGCGAGAGCGAGCGAGAGAGAGAGAGAGAGAGAGAGA